GCCTCCTGTGTTGCCTTGGAATCGCGGGCGCCAGTTTCCGCTTTGCCGCTGAAAGACAGCATCCCACCTTGGTTTCCGAGACGCCGAACTTGGCAGGGACCTGAGCGACCAAAGCTCTCCCAAAGCTCTCCCTGGCTGCTCGAGGTGAGGCTCCTGACACAAATCACTACTCGCGAGATGTCGAAACCTCGGCCAAAGCTCTGAACACTGCAAGCACTGCAAGCATGGATTGTCTGAGTGTCCATATAAGCTGCAAGCCCCGTGAGCCTCAGCGCCTTGCCAAGAGAATGGGAAATTGAGCGCCGCATGTGCCCCACCTTGCGTACTGCCAGCCGTGGGCCCACGGCCATGAATGCTTCACATGCGATGAATCGGTGCAGCACGCGCCAAGGCTCGGACAAGTTCCGCGCCGACCTCAACAGGGGAAATCCACCTGCACTGCCAGCATGCTGGCGTTGGCGAGGGCTTCTGTGCGGCGCGGGTCGCCCCGAAATCCCTGCCTTTCACCACCGGCAAGCTCAACGGCAAACCCAGCCTGGACAGAGGCAACGGAGGGGCTTCAGCGAGTGGAGCCGGCGGTTCGTTTGCTTTGAATCTTGGGACGAGGCAGGACCACTCAGGTTGGCGGCGCTTGGCTCGTGGGACCCGGTGGTGAAATTGGCCGCCACCTCTTGTGGGGCAGGGGCAGGGCAGGGCTCAACTGGGGAATTAAACCTATGACATAAACGCCAATGGGCCGAACCAGGTCCTGCCTCTCTTTAAAAACAAGAGAGGCTCGGGCTTACTGAGCCAGGAAGACGGCCTTGCGTAAGCTTGGGACATCTAGACCTGGACCTTGCTGACCCCACCCGAATCCCATTGAGTATCAGTGCGCTCAAAAACATATTCCAAAATTATCGAGTCTTTCTTTTTGTCGGATTTGTTTTTTGTTTCCTTTCTTCTTGTTTGTCTGAGGGTGCGGAGGGTACGAGGTGTGGAGGGGTGCAGAGGGTGTGGGGGGTGCGCGGTGTGGTCATAGGGATCCTTAGGGGTGTAGGGGGGAGGGGTGTAGGGGACTATATTTCCTTAAATAGGCCTTATTAGTCCTTATTATGGGCCTTAAGGCCCCCTACCCCCCCTCCCCCTACACCCCTAAGGATCCCTATGATGTGGGGTGTGGAGGGTGTGGGGGTGCCACCATGCGCGCCTGCAATGCCGAATGCTGAGCGTGTGCAATGGACAATCCGGATGGCAATAGAAGCAAAAGTAAATGCGAGCATATAAACCATATAAACCCAATCATAAACTACTAAACAATATTATAAGGATAGAAGAATTGGCTGGAGAAGGATAGCCATATTCTGTCAAGCGCCTATGACAAAGAGCACCAAGCAAATAAGGAGGCAAAACAAAAAGCATACAGCAAAGGGAAATAACTAAAGCACAAAGCAGCAAGCAAAGAAAGCAGCGAAAACAAAAAACACACAAAGCAGATCACAACAACAGAAACAACAAGCAAATAAAGCATCGCAAAAGAAAACAGAAACGGACAACGAAAAGCAACAAGCAAAGCAGGCAGCCGGAAACAGACAGCAAAGGCGGAAGGATTTTTGTTCCTAACGCTGGCGGGATCTTAAACACGCCACCTCAACATATGATATCTTAAACAAGCACCCTAGTTAATTTGACGATGCAAGTTCATCAACACCTGAAGCCCACCAGGAGACCAGTGGGCAAACCCTGCTCAGGACCCCAGACAAGAGCCAACCTTGGGAGAAGGAAAACACCGGGACCCGAAAGCAAACACGAAAAACAGAACACCAGCAGCAACAAGCAAAGAATAAACAAGGCGCCTCAAGGCGCCAAGCAACGACAAGCAAGAGTACCCAGCAGCAGGCAGAAAGCAGAAAGCAAAAAACAAAAAACGTGTACACAAAAGCAGTCAAGCAGCAAGCAGAAAACACAAACAACAGAAAGCAATAACAACACACAAAAACAGCAAAATGGAACGAATAAGGACAGCAGCATGATTGTGCAGAAAGCAATATCTAAAAACAAAACGCAAGCAGCAGCAAGCAAGGAATAAACAAGAGTGCCAAGCAACGACAAGCAAGAGTACAAAGCAGCGGGCAGAAAGCAGAAAGCAAAAAGCGAGAAAACAAACGCTGTCAAGCAGCACGCAGAAAACCAAAGCAGCAGAAAGGAAAAACCAAGAAACAACAACCAATGCCACAAACAAAAAATGAAACAACAAAAACATCACCGGATCATTCTGTTTCCCCAACAACTCCGTATCTGAGAGCTCTTCCGACATCTTCCGACCGAGGCACGCGATATGCATGGTCGGCGGCTTCAGCAGAGACCTTGCGAGGCGAACGAGGTCAAATGTGAGCTTGGATATTCGCGCAGCGTGTATGGTACTTTGCGCATATACATACATGCTTCCATGATATGTGTATGTGTACATATATAACATCTACACCCACATAACACATGTGTAGATCCATAAATGCGCAGACACACACACACACACACATGCAGATCACGGTTGAGTGTCTGGAAGCCCGTCTGTCGCTTGGCCTCCCCAAGCCTGCGTCCGATAAATCGCTTGGCATTGAAGACAGTGTGTTGGGGGTACTGGCCTGGAGAGCAGGAATATCTGGTGGAGATAAGCGCGCGATCTGCCCTGAGCCTCGATTCGTTACGGCTCTCTCGCCGACCACAACCTTGCCGTCCGCCAAGAATGTCACAACAGACCTCGATCTCGGAAAGGAGAACTCATCCCGAAGCATGCAGAGGAAGCTTCATTGGCGTGCCACATGCAACAGTCTTAGCAGTCTGTGCTCCGAACGGCAAGAGTTGCTTGCCCGTGGCATGGTCTGGTATGATGGAGATGGTCTGGCAACGACATGCGACAGAATTACACAAAGCTCACAGAAACATAAGGTAGCAGGGAGCACCCCATCTGTTGCTTTGAGTGCCACCACGGAGAAGGTTGTCCCCAGATCAATGCCAACCACCTCGACGAGACAAAGTCATGTCGGAATCGGAAGCATCAAAGAGGCTCAGAGAAACAGAAGCACTTACCTGCGGTCTTCCACGGAAGCCAAGTGCGGCCAAAATCGACGAAACCTTGGCAACACGAGCGTAAGCTTGCGGTTTCCCTCGCAAGACCGCTAGTGTAAGCGCATGACAAGGACCACCAAACCGCCAAGTGCCAGCAAGTACTGCGGAACAACAGACAAGCACCCATCAATTCAACTGGCTGCGGGGACAAAACTGCCGTCCTGCATCAGCTTCCGTTGGGAACGCCCGCGCTGCTCCCAGAGGAAGTGGTTTCGCCCATCGTCGGCTGTTCGCACACTAGTCTAGCCTAGCAGCTAGCGAAATATTTGCAGTAGCTTTGGACGGGCGTTCGACGTTCATGATGCTCATCCCGAATCCCTTGGCGGCATGCGTCGACGTTCCTTCTCGTGGCAACAAGGGTCCAATGTGTCCAAAAAGAAGTGTTGACATGTAAATTTCTGAAGCAGTACTGGAGCCTGGACTCGGCAGAGAGGAGACCCAGCACAGCCTTTCCACGATGAAGGGCCCCTTGCCGTAGCACAGGCTCAGAGGCTCAGCTTCATCTAGATTGCCAGGGACGCTGGGCCACACTCGGTCTGCAGAGCATGTGATGCTGCGGCGACAAGAATCTGCAAACCACGGGATTGAACCACGTGATGCAAAGCCATACCAGGTTGCTCAATGTGCGGCCACGCAAAAACACCCAAAAACGTACAATCGTCCGGCAAAGAGACCACCTACTTAGAGAGAGGAGCAAGTAGAAGCATTGAAAGCGCCGGACGCGAGTGTACACCCATATGAGCCCAGTTCTCAATGAAACGCCACTCGTTGGACAGTTGAACTCAGTAGTCGCAGTAGTCACAGTGGTCGTAACAGAGCAGTCTGCATCGTCGCCGTCGTAGTAGTAGTCATAGCCACATCCCGCCAAGCACTCTTTTCTAGTAATACGAGTATGGCTATGAAGCTATGATGTTATTTACACACACTTATCATCATCTAGGTCATATTCCTCACCATCTTCATACTCGTCGTCATGACCCTCACCATGTCAGTATGATAGTCATTATCACCATCATCACAATCACAAGCACCACCACCAGCAGCACCACCATAACCATCATTGTTATTTGCTTGTCCTTGCTGGAGATGCTGCGAGTATTGAGATGAGAAACTCAGGAATTCAAGAAGCTGTTTGCGCACGGTGGATCAAAGCATTGTGCGGAGGAGTTGGGTCGGCTTCAAGTTGGCGGATGATGCTCAGGAAGGCTGTGTTCACGATGCATCCCAAACAAGTGCCTTGAATATGCCTGGGGAGAGACGCACCACAAATGGACTTTCTCACTGGTGAACTTGGATGAGCTGTGGCTGCGTAGAACAGCTTGACAGCCTGCAGCTCCGACAAAACATGTCAGTACAACCGACATGCAAAACGAGCCGGCAATGAAGTTGGGTAGAGTTTCGCAGCAAGAAAACGTCACAACCAGGCAACTGAGATGACGCCCCAACATCAACCAATCGTATCCAGTCGCAAGCTCCAAGCAGGAAGCAATTGTGCCACATGCTGCAAATGCAGCTCTTGGTAAGGCCATGCCAATTGGGGCTTGATAATGTTGCAGCGGCGCGCGTGGATATGACGAATGGCATTAGCACTCAGCCCTTTGAACATGCTCATCAAGCCCCCGAGTCCCCGTTTTAGGGTCTCTTCTACAAGCTAAATTCGAGAAGTGTGAGATTCGCAAGACTCCATCCACAGCGATTCCCACTGGAAATGCGCAAAGATCAAAACAATGCTTGAAAACAGTGCCTGAGGGAGCACGCACGACACACAAGGTGGAAGTATCACACCTGCGTGCTTCAAACGGTTCGAGCACAAAGGCTTCCTCGTTAAAGTCACTAGCGAACATGAGCTGGCTCGGACTGGGACTGACTAGAAAGGTGCCAGTGCATGCTACGGCTCATGGGAATCGGTCCCAAGCCTCGTGCACTTGTAGAAACTAGCGCCGCTGTGGGGCTTTCACAACTCTGAAGCTTGGGCTCCGGCCCACCAGTCGGCTTCAGCACATCGGTTCAAAAAGATGGCCTGAGCACGAGCGAACTGCCTGCTACATGCAGCTAGCGTGACCCTAAACCCTAAACCTGCTAGATCCAATCCTCCCTTACAGAGCCTTTCTGAATCTTGAATTGGTCGCCTTCTTCGGAAGCTGGGTGCACGTCTCGGGCATCTCCTGAGCTCTTGTCTGGCTTTAGTGGCCGATTCCATCATCTATCTTCTCAAATCTTATTCTCTGTCAACCCCTACATCACCTCACGTATCTCCCACACTCCACCGCAGTACATCACTGCTGCATCATGCACAACTTCAAACTGGGCTTAACGGCATGCAAAGCCCCCGGCACCACGGTCATCGGTGGGATCGTGGCGACCAGCCGTCTCATTTGCGGCCTGCTCTGCCTGCACTGGAAAAACAACAAAGAACGTTATGCAGCAATTATCTTGAAAGTCGTGCACAATCTTTCCCAACAAGCGTCTTGAAGCACAAACCCCGATGGCGACCGTCAGCCAATGCAAGGCACGCGCTGGGTTTTGAGCACAGGGATGCTGATTGGGTGGCGTTGTCATGCTTGAAGCCAGCATGATCTATGTTGGCACCGGGCCGCGTGCCATCACCAAGTCCTCAAGGCCCAAGCCTGGATGGCCAGACAGCATCGAACATTCAAACCAAATCTTGCAACTGCCCGTGTGCTCAAGAAGGCCGCATCAAGGATCAAGCGTGCAAGGGACTCGAAAGATGGAGCTTGGCACGCTGTCGCTTGTGGCAATGCAGTACGGCGCGGCACTACACGACGGGACCAGCAGCGATAGCAGATTGGCAATGGCAAGCCTCGTATATGATTGGGATACAGCTTATAATTTTAGTTCGGCATACTCGTAACGTTCATCCGAGTGCAGATTGCGCGGTCGTGGGCACGACGGCAAATCTGAGGCTGCTGCTTTTGCAAATCTCCACCAGCATCGTGTGGAGCTCTTCAACCTCGCCTCAGATCCGCCCCCTGCTTGCAGTCTGCGCATTGGGATTAGAGTGGCGGGATTGGCATGGACTGCAAGTACTTGCTTAGATTCCAAACATGCTTAAAGCTGCTTTTTGAAACACAACTACACCGAGAAGCCGGCTGGATGGCAGCTCCACAATGTCCTGACCAAGACTAAGTTTGTAGCCCTCCGCGTGCCGCTCCGCGTGTAAGGAACGGATCTCGCCTCGTCCTTGGCCGGCTTGGCCTGACAGACGGTGCTTAGCCGAGGTCTTGAAGCTCCTGCCCAGTCAGGCCTGCACCTCCTGCACCATATGCATCGGCAGCCCCAAGCCTGCGTGGCATGACGGAACATGACAGCACAAGCACAGGCAGCGAACACCTGAAGCCAAGTCGCTTTTGCCGATTGCCAGCATATCCTCATGTAGGGCATCCAACTCACCTTCCATCAGTCTAATGTTGACATATGTGACAAATGTTAACGTCAGAACCCTTAAGGGCCACACAGCTGAGGACACGGATCATGGCGTGGCAAGAACCTAGCACCAGAGCGGCTGATCTATTTCCAAATGGCGATAGGCTCCTGTTCAGAGGAGCACCAACAGGCTTGCCTGCTTCACAGTCTAGGCGCGAGAAGGAGGTCGACTTGAGCAGACTGCACAGCACATGCAGCCACCATGACGAGGAACTGCCACGACCGAAATGACGTCCCAATCAGCGCACAGCATTGCGTGTAGTTCGACAAGAAACGTTTTCCATGGGCAATGGGCAGCAAACCACTGCTCTGCAAAAATGTTGCAGCTCGACTGCGCAGGAACATCCGCGAATCGACATCCTATGCGCAGACACTGCAATCACTTAATTATGCTACCAGCCTTGCTGGAACGTGTTGAAAACTTGCCACAACTTCCTTCGGAAGGTCGTTCTATTCCTAATGCTACACCCGTCAGATCGCTCAGGCGAGCGCGCAGTTGAGAATTTGCCTAGGCACTGCGTCGTCAGATGTGTCAGGTCAGACAAACCATATATAAGGCACTCAAACTCCTAGGGGCCTGGCGCTTACATGCTCCACGTCTAGATCTTGGGTGTCGGTGAAACCAGATCCTTGCCTTTGCTGAGCTGCAGAGAAGGCCAACATTGGCATGTTGACCGTGAAACTGCACATTTCCAGTCATCTGTACGAGTTGTGGAGCTGCACCCGAGGGATGGAAGGGAGGTCTGCAGGAGCTGCCCACGACCTTGCCTTCGGAGTCGAACCGTAACCGCAATCTAAGCCAAGCGGCAGATGCAAGGCCTCGGATCACGCAGGAGCTCTCACAGCCCCCCCTCGGACCCAGAGCAGTTGAGAAGGAAGAGGGGCTAAAACGGCCAGGTCATCCCCAGAGCTGACGCTGTCATTGGCGCAGGTGTTCTGCACCCTTTCCTGGGCGCAGGGCACGACGAAAGGACTCAAGGCTTGAAAATGCTTTTCAGGCCAGTTGCGTTGCAGAGTCTGCGCAATTTTTGCATCCTGCTCCGCCTGCATGGAATGTCGGCACAGTGCGGTCATACTTCTTGTCTATCCACATCGAGCCTTTCTATGCATTCTATTCGCTATGCGGCCATGCATATACTGATATGCTTGCTATACATGATGAATTACATGACACACACACAGAGACCGACCGTGGTGTACTCGTTGCTGTTTCGCTAACATCATTTGTCGGGGCCACGTACTAGTAGCGTTTAGAGATCTGGATGCCTGCCTTCTTTCCAAATCCTCCTATGCGTTAGTCCTCGCAGGCTCCTTTAATTCCAGGATTGAACTAAATCCGCATTCAGTATGCACTGTCTTTGCTTTGGGGAACACCACGACATAGTTGTTCGGTGCCTCGGACCTACCGGTCGGTTCTCGATAACCGGGAGAAAGCAAGATGGCTCCGTTACGCCTGAAGCACGGATCAAAGACATCGCTTAGTAGTGTAGACTAGCACATCCCAATAGACATGTGAGCTTCGGCGTGCGCTCAAGGGAATTTGGCTCCTTCATGTTGTGCGCCCGCGGGAGCTGAGTTGGAGTTCGGGCGGGCTCGAGGTCTGCTTTCTTCGAGACTGACGATTCTACCCCCCCTCTTTATGTCGTACATACGGTACCGTCAGAACCGAAGCATTGAGCGATTCTCGACTATCGAACTCAACTCGTCATCTTAACATCACGTCACCTTGAAACCCGAAGGGCAGAGTAAGGGTTTTTACAGGTTCACCTGCCTTGGCTTTCTTTTTCATCTTCTTCTTTTTCTTCCCCGTCTTCAGGTTCTCCCCGGAGAGCCAGGAGACGAATTCTTGCAGGTCCTGAGCACACTGAAACACGCAATCCTTAAGGGTACTGTAACGGTATATTAAAGTGTTTTGGTATATTATCGTATACTAGAGTGCATTGTAGTGCGATGGGGTGGGCTTTGAGATGCCTTTTCGGTGCAAACTGAGTATCAATGACTCCATCGTTATTCACGTCAATCTCTGCGAAGATCCTTTTGAGAGTGACCTGACATTTTCCGAGTGTGGAAGCTTGGCGAAGAGCTCTCTTTCCGAGGGGGCGCAATTCGGCTCTTTTGGCTTCAGAGGCCTCTGTGAACTTGGGGTTCACCTGCTTCAGAACCTGGCCCATCTCCTCTGTAGAAACCGTTCCATTTCCATCCTTGTCCTCAGCCAAAAAGCGACGCACAGCGAGGAAACATGGGAGCACATGGGAGATCAATCCGAGTGTCCCAAGCCAAGAAGGTGTCGACCTTTGCAGGGCAGCAGACGGGATGGAAGTCTCGGTCAGACTCCGAGGAAAGAACGAGCTGATCGAGGCCCCTGTCGTCACAATCCACGACCTCACAAAGTCAGCAACAAAGAGGAACCGCCTCCCCAAAACCCCCCCCTTTTGGGGAACCCTTGCTGGAGTCTGCTCTTTAGGCCCCAAGCAGTCACGTTCGAGGCCTGGCCATGGCGGCTTTGAAAGCGACCCCCGGAAGAGTAGTAAGAGTGCAGGAAAAAACAGAAAAAGGGGCCCCCCGGGGGGCCTGCAAATGGAGCGTGATGGGAAAGTGCTTGCTGTCCAGAGATGCAGTCTTGTCCTTGAGAATCTCTCTTAGAGCGATGGACTCTCCAGCCGCATTCGTGGCATGATATTTCAAGCCTGCGAGAAACGGCCAACCGACATGAACCGACACTCAACGGTTGAATGTGGTGGGATGGCCTTCCTCCTCCTCTTTGAAACCGCGCCGTTTCAGGAGTTTGGAGACTTCGGATTTCCAGTCGTCGCTCCAGCTGATGTCCTCTTCCTTGGGAGACGAGCAGAGACAGCCAAAATTATTCGTCTCTGCCCAGATGCCTTCTTCTGCACCCCTTTCTGGTACGTCTGTCTCCTGCAAGCTGAGACGAGCAAGACTAAGACTCAGCGGTAACTTCACTTTGCGCATGCTGCTGCCGAGCAACACTTGGTCCACGGTGGCCAAGTTGTCTGACACAAGCCATCCGATGTCCTGGTAGTTCACTTCGCCTCAGGACGAGGTGCCCTGGTGCCGTAGGGTCCCAGCCCCACAAGTTTAATGTCAAGGCAGGCCGCCGTCCCGGTCTTGGTCACATTTGCTGTACAATTCCTCCGCAACAGCTCTGGAGAAACCAGCCTCCATCCTTGCAAGTTCTGGCATGTCTTTGATATGCTGCTGCGACTGTCGTAAGCGGTTAGCGTCGTTGCTTGCAGGTTGTTCGCTCGACAGCATGACTGGTCAAACGGTCTTGGCGGTGTGGTAACAACCGAAAAATGGAAAAGCCGTGACAGGCAAGCCTTGCAGCGGCAGCTGCCAGGCTTGCGCACCCCAAACCACCAAACAGAGTTCTTCCCAGGTTGCCTCGCCCTTCTAGCGGCCGTAACTGTGTCTATCCTGAAACCCCGCACCTCTCGAACGGGGTGCGGCACAGAAGCAACAGCTGAGATTTCTCTAGACTGCGAGCACCGCCCACATTGAGGCGAGGAGCTTCTGTCTGACGAAATCTTCCTCACAAGGAAACATTAACGACACGGATCGCACCTCATGAAGCTTGGGAGATGAGAGTCGCATCCCATGCAGCCACGAGTCGCGACTGAAGCGCAGGCCTTTTTCTCTCTCCTCTTGTCTCCTTGCCTTCGCAAAGACGTTATGGCAGGTGACATGATCCGACAAGATTCGATGCCTCTTCGGCTGCTTTGGCCTCTTCGGCATCTTTCCTGCACGGATTGCCCGTGCAGTGGGGAGACGAGTCTGAGCAGCAGCCCGGCGCCTGCTGCGGAACGCGGCGAGCCGCTCCTTCGAAGAAGCCGACACGGCACAGCTCAGACACCTCTTAACTCTTGCGGCCGTTGCAGAGCTCCTCGGTTTCGTGGATCTTTCGCTTGTTTTCGGCAACAGCCATGTCCAGCAACTGAGGGCGAAAGTCACCCGTCTGCCTGCGGCACGGGCTTAGGCCATGATCACTGTTGGCATAGCTCCGACCCGACGGGTCACATCGTTCTACTCATGTCTCGGCCGCATGCGTTTGCCTGCCGTCGTGGCCGTTGACCCAACTCCAGAACTCGATGATGGAAAGCTCGCCATCCTCGGAAGCAGAGACAGAGAGGGAGAGAGCGAGAGAGAGCTTGTTTCGTCGACTCTTCAGTGTGACCGCCGCCGTCACTCCTTGTTCTTGTCGAACTGATCAATGAGGGTCTGAACGCTGTCTGGGCTGAAGCTGAGCGAGAGCAGAACCTGAAAAGCAGCTTGGCGCGAGACCCTCATCTCGTTGTATGGCATCTTGGAGTTTTATCGCTGGGCAACTCTCTTCATTTCATCAGCATCGATTTTGCCGCTGTGATCAACATCCAGCAGATCAAAGATCAACTTGACCTCGCATGGCGTCCGTCGCATTCGTGCAGTCCTGCAGTCCATGCCTGGGCTCCTCACCTCTTCACCTTGTGTTTGTGGTTCTCCCAGTGACATCTTCCCGCGAGGGAGTCCTCGCTGAAGACGAAAACGAAAGCGGAGATTGTGGGCTAGCGGAAATGTCGAATCTCAGCCCGGCACCACCGCTATCGACTTGCAGCCATCGACAAGTCGAAAGATTGCTACTAGGCACAGCAGAGCTGTAGGCCAAATCATCGACGGAAGAAGCTGCGAAGACAGCTCTGTCGCCGGCTCGGCATTCTTGTCTCTGCACTCAGCTGCAGGAGCACTGCGCTTTGCGGGTCCAGAGCAAGTCGAGGTCTCAGCACCGTCACCACGGCATGCAACGTTGAATTGTGCAACTTGTCCGGGTCAACCGCGAGGCTCAGTGAGCAACGAGACCCGCCCGTGGCTAAACGCAAAACCTCACGTTGTGCGAAGTCACGAAGGCCAAGGGGATCTAACAAGCTGCCCACAAGCCATCAGCAGCACGACTCATCCAGCTAAGCTATGCCGAATTCGTGCATTCGATCTAATTCTGGAAATGGTGGGGCTGAGCTTCCATGCTTCAGGACCCGCAATCAGGGAACGGATTTGTATTTGATGCAAGGCAACGTGTTGCAAGGCAATCTACACGTGGCCGTCTTCTGGCCTTTCAGCTGCTCCGTTGCATATGCATGAATCTTCCTGTTTCTATTGCCTTGAGCGACAGGTCAAAAAAACTTGGACCTCGGATCGATGCCGCTCTGTGGCACTTCTAAGGAAAAGGTCAGCCAGTAGCTGTAGAAGGCAGCATCCGTCAACGGACTTCAAATGTTAAACGACTCCAGACCGTAATGAACTAGCACGGGAAAAAATTAGACTGGCGTTTCCGGGCGCAAAGCATGCCCGTGGCATAGCGTGTTTGCAGCGCCAGAAACACCTGCAAACAGCAGTAGCCTGTGCAAGTTTGCGTGCCATACTGATGCACTTCAAAAGGCTTTCAGATCGAGTGCAAGAAGCTTCTTTCGGTCCAGCACTCCTTGAAGTGGACATGCTGTCGCTGGCAATCCGACCAAATCAGGGGCCAAATCGCTTCGCAGCTTGCCTGCAGGCATACCAACCACGCCAAAATCAACCCCAAGCAAGGCTTCAGCCTGAACGACCCCCTGCCTGCAGAAATGCCCGATCTCACTCGCAAGTCTGCACCAACCGGTACTGTAGCAATCTGATCTTGTTCCGATATCTCTCTGGGGGTAACTCCGGAATCGCTGTGCTGTCGGTGACCGAAACTTATGTCCACGGGCCGTCAACCAGCAAAGGATCCCGCAGTTTGTGTCTTGGAAGCCTTCTTAGAACTGGATTTCGAGCCTTCGGCAGCCTTCGGCAGGCAACGAGGTGCTTTCAAAGGATGCAAAGGATAGGTTGGCACGCTGTTGCCATCGCCTGCGCATCGGGGCCATCGGGCATCGGGCTTGCAGCCTTTGCACGTAAGAAGCGAGTCGCCTTGGAGCCTTCACGCTGTGAGAGGTAGCTGCCAACACAGGTCCTGGTGGCCGCTGGAGCGCGTCTGGAAAAGTTGGAAGCACCCCCCCTGCCTGCGCATTCAAGGCGGACTCTGTCCGGCCTCAAAACAACAGGCACAGGCACAAACAAAAGCCAGTGACATAGTGAGACACACACACAGACAGACCGACTCATCGATTACTTGGCACCTGGACTTGCTAATGCTTAGCTACATCTGTCCGACTAAGTGGCACAACTCACCACCTGGACCGTTTGCTAGTTTTGACCTTCGGATTTTGCCGAGTCCTCTCCTTCCTGCCGCGTGGCTTGTCTGGAGGAGTTGAGAAAACACATGTGACAAGAAAAGCCTAGTTCACTTCTCGCCACATGCGAGCATTCCACCATCCCTGATGCTGGAACCTACAGTCTAGGTCGCTGACACTGTTGCTCTACCTGCAGGATACATCTCCACGGAAATAGGCGGTGATGGTGTAGTCACACTGCCTGCTCGACCGCCATCATAAGCAGCTTGACGTCCTTCTGCAACGGCTTCGCCTCAGCTCCGCCGTGCTCTACCGGAGACTGGTCACCACAAGAGGACCTTGAAAGCCTTGAACTCAGGCACTGGCAGCATAATCCAATGCGAAACCATTCCGCTGTGCCGCCAAACACATGAACTCTCGACTGGCTCGGAGCTCCTCAATGCGCAACGAGCTCCAACAAAAAGTGGCCCAGGCTCATCTGCTCTGCACTGCTCTGCCGCCTGGGGTGCGAAGGCGAGCACGGAAGGATCCCGCTCCAGAGCCTGCGACTTCCGGGCGGAAGGATTCGCAGAACGTCTGCTTTCCCTGCCTTCAGCCAGAGGCCCCAATCACTTCGAAGGTCTTCCCCTCAGATATCCCGAGCATGTGCCAGGCCAGTGAGGCGTCTGCGCTGCCTGCGTAGCGAAGTCCGTGTGGCTGATGCTCCGTGACCTGCCTGGGACTGGGCTGCCGGGCGAAGAAGTGACTGTGACAGCCTGGCTGAGGATCCGACCCCATCACATACTTGTCGTTCCGCACCTCGCCGTGGCCACGTGTGACATGTGAACTGCTGCCAAGAACCTACCAGTATCGGATCGCAGGCCTCGGCAGCAGCAAAGGCCAGCACGGCTGCATCGCGTGCTGCGGCTGCCAGCACGATGCCAGGATCTGCCTGCAAGTCCTCGCACCGTTGGGCGTCAGAGCCCTGCAGATCTGACACACGACAAGAACCGAGCTCTCACAACGGCAGAGGACCTTGGATGCATGTCGCAAGGCACGGGCTTGGTTGGATACGGCAGCCATGACCTCAGAGAGATAAGTGACGTCGCCACAAAGAGTAAGCGAGAGAATAAGGTTGACGCCACTTCGCGATCGTTTTGCAGTTCCTACAGCCGTAAAGTTGCAAACCATGTGGAGCAGTCCATGCTTGACGTCTGCTCCTCACATGCGTGCTCAAGAGAAGACCCATACTGCCCGACGGCAGCGAGGACCACGGCCTCTGGCATCCACAGCTCACCGCAATGAAATCACCCTTTTGATGGCCAATGCCAAAGCTTGGCCACACCACGTCTCTTCTCACGCATCGGCCACAAACGCTGCAACTCCTTGCTTTCTCGGCTGAGCCTTGTTGGCCTTCAGGCTGCCGGAAGCATGCGCCAGCGCCGAACCAGCTTGTTCCACCTAGGAGCTCATAGTTGGAAGGATCTCCCACATTGTAAAATGCTGATTCTTATGGCAAATTCTCACGTACTGCTACTGCTGCCGCTCCAACTACTACTCCTCCTGCTGCCTCCTTCTTCTGCTGCTGCCACTGCTTCTGTTGCTGCTGCTACCTCCTCCCCGACTACGACTACAACTACTGCTACTGCGACTGCTCCTGCGACTGCTCCTGCTCCTGCTCCTGCTCCTCCTCCTGCTCCTGCTCCTGCTGTTGCTGCTGCGGCTGCTCGTACAACCACTACTACTACTACTACTACTACTACTACTACTACTACTACTACTACTACTACTACTACTACTACTACTACTACTACTACTACTACTACTACTACTACTACTACTACTACTACTACTAGGCTTGCGCGCCTCCTGGCGTCTGGTAGTTTACAGGTGTTAGAGGGTCAAAAGTACCGGTGTTTACAGGGTTTTGTGGAAATTGCAGTTCAGTTACGTTTTCAAAAACTTTGCTTTATTAATAACTACACTTTTCGATGACGATGATGATGCTAATGATGCTACTGATGATGATGATGATGATGATGATGATGATGATGAAGACGCTGAGAATGACAATGATGTGCATGTTATTGGAAGCCACTAGTAGGACTGAGGACTACGGCCACTAGTGCTACGACTAGGCCTACTACACTGCTGCAGAAAGGGCCTCAAGCCGCTTGTGCTAGTGCTAGTGCTACGACTTCTGGTAGTGGTACTGCTAGTAGGACTCCTAGTAGGACTGGTACTGGTACCTAGTAGTACTGTAGTAGTGCTACTATTAGTGCCAGCCAGTGCTAGTGCGACTGCTACTACTATTAGTGCCACTGGTGCTGGTACTGCTAGTGCTACTGCCACTGCTACTGCCAACACGCGAAAATCGAGCCACTGTGCGGGCCCCCCCCTCACGACCCCCCGCACCAGTGGAAGAAAATCCTTCGAAAACACACGAAAATCGAGCCACACCGTGGGGATTGCGAAACCGGCAAAAATTGCGGTGAAGCATGTCGTGATTGACACCCCCACCATGCCCTCCCCTCCCAGTCGAACAAAAGCCCCCGAAAAACGCTGCAAAGTACCGGCACTGCCAGTGTTTTTGGCAACAAGAAGACCATTGCGGTCGACCATGTCGTTATTAACCCCCCCCACCCACCCACCCCCCCACCCACCAACCCAAAACCTCCCCGAAACGCTTGAAAACAGCGGAAAACACCAGGCGCCAGGAGGCGCGCATGGCTACTACGACTACTACTGCTACCACCACCACCACCACCACCACGACTAGCGCTGCTACTACTACTGCTACTACTGCTACTACTGCTACTACTACTACTACTACTACTACTACTACTACTACTACTACTACTACTAACCCTACTACTGCTGCTACTACTACTACTACTACTACTACTACTACTACTACTACTACTACAGCTGCTGCTAGTGATACAGACACAGCTACGACATTGAGGTCATACGCAGAAACACTGCATTGTCATAGTCATAGACATCATCAGTTGTCGTCCTCGCCAACAGCATGGCCAATCAACACTAGCAACGCCAGGACCAATGTCGTCGGTGTCATCAGCATCTCGCAAATCAAGTCTGCTTTCATCTCTGTGGCCAAGCCGCAGCGCAAAGAACCACTTCCTGGCAGTCCTGCCTCGGTGCTTTACTTTCTTCAGGCTTGGACACCGAGATCCAACACTCTGGGAGACTCCTGGAATCTCATTGCGTCACTTCATAGATCAGCACTCTGGGTACTTGCAACAAGCAAAGGCGGCAGCAAGTCTGGTGAAGCAAACTTGAGAGAGTAGCCGTGTCTCTTCAGCACCTCACAACACGCAACGTGTCGCAGTAGCCTTCACTGCAAAGTGCCCGGGCGCGAGCAGTCATAGCAATCTCTCGGTCGTCTCGGATGTGTTCCGGAGCATTTCTGAACAGATCCTGTCGAATGCTAGGTGGAATCTGCCACCGCATCGGAGGGGTTCAGCA